CACAGGAAGGGGAACCCAAACAGAGGCTTCTGATCTTGCTGAGTTATGATTTTAAGGAGTCCAAGGCAGCCATAATTTATGGGATAAAATATCAGAAAGGAACTACAGAGAAGAAAGCTCTCGAGATCTGCAGACAAATCCTTTCAAACTGAGGCCGAGTACTAATGTATGCATACATGTGTGGTTACTACTACAACCAAGAAAAGAATCACGAGAGAAGAGTGGGCAGCATAGTTTCTGGAGCTCACAAGAGTCAGGAATAGTTTAGGTTTTCCACCAGTCAGAGAGGAGAGATCTCTTAATTCATGGAGCATTGGTTAGAGTCTTCAGAAAGTTATTGCCTAGACCAAATTAGCCCTAAGAGAGCTTAAAAGCAACTCTCAAAAGCATCCAGCTAATTCGAAGTATTTTAACTGCATCCCAGAAAATAATCTAACACGATATAAAGGAAGACAAAAAAAATCCAAAACCCAAAAATGTAAAATTCAACATTTCCAAAAGTGAATTAAAAAATTACCAGGTAAGCAAAAAAGTAAGAAAAATAATGCCTCCCAATCAGGAGGGCAATCAAATAAATCAACAGAAACAGATCCAGAAATGACAGATGATAGAATTAGCAGATAAAAATAATAAAGAGCTATGTGCACGTTTGCGCGCGCGTGCACACACACACACACGCACACACACACACAAAACAAATTATAGGAGAGAGAAATGAAATTATATCGTTGAAAGATTCTTAAAATATATGTAAAATAATACACTATCATTTAAAGGTCAAATGTGATAAGTTAAAGATGTATATTGTAAACCCACTTAAATGGAATAACAATGAAAAAAGATGTAGTTAATATACCAATAGTAGAGATAGAATGGAATTTAAAAATACTTAATCAAAAGAATGTAGGAAAAGAGAATAAAGAGCAGAGACTAAAAGGGACAAAAGAAATAAAATAGCATAAAAACACATTAAACACCATTAGTCATTAGGAAAATGCAAATTAAAACCACAATGAGATACTACTATACATTTTCACAAAAGGGCTAAATTTAAAATAATTTACTTGCAACATCAACTTTGGTGATAACGTGGATCACGAGAATTTTCATATACTGCTGGTGAAAACATGAAACCATATAGCCACTTTAGAAAGCAATTTGGCAGACTCTCATGAAGTTAATCAAACACCATTTAATTCAGCAATTCCAATCCATAAATTCACACCAAAAAAACTTTTACTCAGATATTCATATCAGCTTCATTCCAATTTATTCCAAATCAGAAACAACTAAAATACTCTTCAGCTGGTTGGTAAGTGAATAAATAAACTGTGATACACCCCTGCAATGGAATAATGCTCAGCAATAAAAAGAAACAAACTACTGACACATCTAATAATATGGATGAATCTTGAAAGCATTATGCTAAATGTACGAAGCCAGACACAAAAGAATACTTACTATATGTTTCTGTTGACATTAAATTCTATAGAATGCAAACTAATCCAGTGACTAAAAGATTAGGGATTGCTTGGGACCAGAAGTGGAGTATATAGGAGATGAGGGTTGAATGTGTAGATTTATGTCAAAGAGGCATAAGGAACATTTGGCGGCAATGAAATTTTTCATTGTGGTTGTTCTTATAGCATCCATACATTTGTTAAAACTTGTCAAATTGTACATTTTAAATGTGTGCAGTTTATTGTGCATAAATTATACCTCATTAAGACCTTTTTAAAATGGAATGAAAGAAATGAAAAGTGTCACTCTTTTATTACTCTGAGGAATATCATTCCTTAATTATTACTGATGTGCTATCCATGTGAGAGAAATTTTGAAAGCTCAGGCCAAGTTAAAGACAAGTGCATCTGTGCTCCTAATTTTAAAAGGCCCACTCTGGCTTGTAAAGCGATGTTTTGATTCTGGTTTTGTTTAGCTAATTGTTTGGCACCACCCTGAACACAAAGGTTAATCTATAACCTCTTTGAGAGAAAGACATTGTCATATCACATTCTTCCCAGAGCACATAAAAAAAATAAAATTGTTTGTTAAATGAAATAATAAGTGACCAAACGAAAAAATGAAGAGTGAAGTTTGAGAATTTATGATCACAACTCATCTGTCTGTCTGTCTATCTATCTATCATCTATCTATCTATCTATCTATCTATCTATCTATCTATCTATCTATCTATCTAATTTATCTATTGTAGGCAATGCTATCTATTCATCTTTAAATGTAGTAAAACAAATTTAAAATTTTGAAAAATTTGTACAAGTAGGCCTCACGTTTATCTTCACATTGTTGAAAAATGAAATTCATATGGCCAAACAATATATGGCAACATTTATTTCGCCACCTTTACTTTGTATGTCATTTCAGAGTTTACAATGGCTTTCTCCTCTTATCCCTCTGAACCATCCTTCCTCTCTTTTCAATGGGCTTATCCACCTTCACCCACCACTAAATGCTGAAGTTGTCCAGGGTGCCATCATTGGCTATATTCTCTTGTCTCTCTATATAGTCTTCCTGGGAAGCCATGTGATTCTAGTAATTTTAACTTCCAGATGATGCCAAACTCTATCACCAATACCCACTTCTCTCCTAAGCTCCAGAAAATACCTTGCAGATAATCAAGCCATACCCCAACCAAACTTTTTTTTCCTGCTGCCTTTCTGTTTTATTTTGGGGGGATTTCCTTCTACTAAGTTGACCAAGCCTAAAACTTGGGAGTCACTTTTGATAACTTCCTCTCCCTCATCTTTCTGCATTCAATCTCATCAAGCACTAGAATTTCTATATCTCAAATATTTTCGTAGTCCATTTCTGTATCAGACACAAACCTCGTGCACCTCATCAAATTCTCTCAAACATACCTCCTTTCCTATGGCTCCAACAGCATCCCAGCCCAAACCAATCACTTGTCCTTGAAGCGCTAAGCATAGCTCAGAGTAGACCACCTGCAAGCCCAGAGTTTTAGGGTCTCTGCCACTTCCAGAGACCCTAAATCTGGCATCTTACAGAGATGCCCTAGCGAAGGTGCTGGATAACACAACTCGGAAGCATGTTAACTCTCCATGGGATAAAGTAGGAGATAGGAGGAATCTAGGCAGACACATTTACCTTCATTCATCTCTTTATGGGCTGCTCCTAGATACAGTGTTTCCTTGCATTCTGTCTAGAGAAGTTTAATATGCTGAGCAATACCCCTGCCGTTTGACCTGCTATGTTCCTTCATGGCTTGCTGAAAGTGGTAGACAGCACAGTAAGATATCACATGTAGCCATCATGGTAACTCATCACTGCACATTGTACAGAGATTGGTATGTAATATACACTCAATAATAAAGCTATTGTTATGATATTATATTATGTAACCCAAATAGGCAACTTTATCATTCTTTTTCTTTCTTATGAAGCCCAAGCAATCTCTAAAAAATTACATCTGTTATATATTAATTTGTGTCTATGTTATTAAACATAAACCAAACATAGCTTTCATAGAAAAAGTCTGGAAGAAGAGACCTAAATGTCAATGGTGATCTTTTTGTGGTAGGATGCTGCATTTCTGCTGATGTCATCATTTAATATATTTTTGTAAAATTTATACATTTTTCTGCAACAACATATATTCTATTCATAATCAAAACAAGATAAACTTTTCAACATCTATTGTAAAAACAATATGTAAATAAATGATAAATAATAGACAGCATTGATAAACAGCAAGGATAATCGATTCCAGTCTTACTTATTTAATGAGATGGTGGGCATTTAAGATAGCCTGAGTTATTACAAGTTTTGGTAAAAGTTGTTGGAGATCTAAAAAGAGCCTGCCAACACCATCACTACCAAAAGAGCCTGAGAGGCTTGAAGACCCCAGGTTGGGAAATCTTAAAGGTGCTGAAGTCTAGCATCTTATTTAAGATTTGAACTCTACCTTTAGTAATGGAAAACCAACTCCACCTGTTAAAAGCTAATCTACAACTCTGGGCTATTTTTAATGATTTCCTTTGAAAAGTGTGTACACCCTCAAAAGAAATAGTTGTTTTTGTTACCTACTTCAGTAATATTCCTAAGACTGTCTAGATGTTTGAAGTCAATAAAATTATTGAGCATATAAAATAGGATATTTCTTTGATTCTCAAGAAACAGGCCTGAAGCTGGATGACTTTAACAGGTTATCCATAAGTGTGGTATCTGTCTCCACTTTCCACTCTAAGATTAAATAAATCAGATAAAAGAATGACGGCACTGAGGCTATCTAGATTAGAAGTCCTATGATGAAAAGCAAAGATGTATTTCCAGGTTTTCCATATTTAAAAATACTACCAGTTCGTGTTTTGGGAACTGAAATGAAGCTGACAATAGACCCAAATGTAAGCTATGTAAGCATCACAGAATCACAGCTGAACATGCCACACGTTATCTCCATGGTACTGAAATGCAACTCTATGACAAGTCACAGCAACAAAAAATGTGTTTCATCACATTGCTCGTCCCTTCACAGAAATATCCCAATAGCTTTTTATGTCTCTTTTCTTCAGTTGCTCTACCTAATCCTGTTTCCTCTCCTTTTCAATTTTATGTAATTCAGACTATATTTAATTTGCAAACTGAAGTAGAACAGGTCTCCTTCACTGAGCTGTTCCACACAGCAATCTGACAGTAGGTCACTGCTATGCACTGTACCCTGAGTTTTAGTGGCTGTACTGGAATCTCAGTGTATTTTTGCTTTCGCCCATTGTCTTCTTAAATGAAAGGAAAGTAAGTTTGAGCATTACTATTGGGTGAAGTCATATGTCCATTAAAGAAAAAAGGTTGAAGAAATACTGTACCTTTCCCGATTTCTTAAGAAACAAAGGAACTCTAACCACAGTAAAATAGAAAGGGGAAAGCCCCAAAGAGGGAACAAAAATTGTGGAAATTAGAACTTTCCAAAGTGCCCAATCTCCAAAGAAGGTAAAATATTCTACAACCAGGTCTTTATTTTGAAATACCTTTCTTAGGTGGCATCCTGAGGGTGTCTTGTCAGAACGTCTCAGCCGCCGGCTGACTTGGAGAAGGATGACAGTTTGAAGAGGCAAATGTTTCAGGCTTGGTCCAGCACATCCACACACTTCTGCCTGTTGCTGAAAGTGTGCCCCGGTGCCATTTCACAGTCTGAAACATAAGAAGGTACTAATTTCCTCACCATTAAATTTTCATGAATGTTTAGTTTACCATTTAGGGATGGAGTACTCAGGTCAAAAGGGCTATATTTGGGGCTTATGTTTGAAATAAAACTAAACTGATCATGTAAGTCCTATTCAAAACAAAATCTGGTTTCATCCCACTCTGTATGTGTTTTGCCTGTCTCCTTTTAAATGCCTTCCATTATAGGGCTTTATCCTAATTATATACACTGTGGGCAGTGTAAGTGAGTGTGCTCTTAGGTGAGAAATACTGACCACTAAGTATACTTGGTAAGTTAAATGAGTAAATAAAGAAGATACTCTTACACCTGGAGTTCCAGTTTAGGTAGTAAAGTTACAGAGCATTCAATTTAGTAATCAATCTCCAGTGTGGGGAAACCTGGAAACATTGTATTGATTTTCTCAACCTCTCTGAAAATAAAACTTGCTATAAGAGGAAAGTGTTATTTTCTGGGAAAATTTTTAAAACTTTTTTTCTGTCAAAACTTCTCATAGGAAAGTAGTAATCTTTTCCTTTAATGATAAACAGAAAGTATTTCCATCATTAAAAGAAAGGGACAAAAAGTCCTGAAATTTAATGTTGCAAAATTGTAGGCTTTTTGAGAGTGAGGACACTGGCATTCTCTGATTACCTCAGTGATAGCCACTGACCTTGGCTAGGAAGCAGTGTTTTGAAATGGATCCTGGTGGCACACTTACGCCAGAGCAGCTATTGGCTTCACAAATGGATTTGTGCACAGATCAGACCCTCCTAGAATGTAAAGGCTAGTACATAGATTTTAGCCAAAGTAATATGGTTTTATGACTTAAACCAAAGCTCTGTAAGGCTGATGGTCACCGAGTTTTTTTCCTATTTGGACCTACATCTTAACTGTAATAGTAAAATTGGATATAGCTGGTATAAGGACTTATATTTAAAGATGCCCAGAGTGGTCCTTTAACTTTAGAATTTACAAAGAGATTAAGAAGTTTTGTTGCAAATCATTGAACCTATAAAGTGAGAATAATATGTAATTTAATTTATATTAATTTAAATATAAATATACAAAATTAAACACTATTCTGACTAAAACTGTAATAAACACATGAATAAATTAACAAAATATGTTCAAGCCTTGTATCCAGAAAATTATGAAAACAAAACTAAACAAACATTAAAGACAGAAGATTTAAGAGAAAAAATAGAATTCAACTACATTAAAATAAGAAATTTCTATTCATCAAGATGCTTCAAAGAAACTTTAAAAAGTAGAAGATAGTTACAACTCACATAGCTATCAACAATAAGATATGCATCCCAAAGGGAAAAAGACAAAAGATTTGAACAAATACTTCATACATGAAGATATAAAGTGATATGTAACCCAAGGAAAAAAGGAACAAAAACATAAACAGTAATTTCACAGAAGAGGGAACACAGAGCCAATAGACATAAAAAGAAAGGCCTAATCTCATGTATAGGAACGCAGATTAAAACTACTAGCAGTACGAATATGTTGGTTCAAAACCATAGGAGCTCCCCAGGTGAAATCTGAAACTGGCCCCCATTAATGAAGGGCAAGGAGAGACAGAGAAAGATGCAGAGCATTCCATATTGGTAGGTGGCAGATTTAACAAGCAAGGGAACTTATACACAAAGCTTGTCTTGGGAAGCAGCAAGACTAGGACGTCTCCGCACTGCCCGCTAGAATCTTAAAAATTTATGTAGAGAGGCCTTAATGGGTTCAGTCACATATGGTCTCAATAACACATTACTATCTCAAGGCTGTGTCCTTGAGGCATTTCTGATATGGGGAAGGCAGGCAGAATGTACATTCCAAGGACAGGGGAGGGAGTAAGGAGCCTCCAATTACCTAGACTGCCTGGGTCCAGCTTGAGAGTCAACCAGCGGTCATGTCTTCTTGATGATCTCCGCCAATATTCTATCCTCATGACTGACTCTTATAATCTTACATGTCCCCAGTCCCTACAATGTGCCCTGAGCAAGGGGTTTTATTAGCCTGGAGGTGGTTCATTAGCTGCTATCTGGCTGCACTAGGGGCGGATACCATAGCAGCAATGTAGGCACACGAGAGAAACCACAGATTAAGATAATGATTCCCAAAGTAAGTAACAATTTTTTCCACCAAGAGCCCTACTGATTTATTAAATTCTCCAGGCTGGGGGTCAAATCACTCAGGCCATTCACTTGTATCCTCCTATGCTTTAATAAAGATGATACGCTAGCAGACTCATCAGGTATAAACACAATATTCTGCTTACATAATGGCACAAGCGCATCCTTCCAAAGCAGTAGTAATGTCCAAGGCCATCCTACTTTGGAGGACAGCTTTCCTCTCTAGAGACACCTCGGTGTTCACTAAGGACAGGCTTTGCCAACTATCATGTAAGGCTTGTTGGGTGATTATAATAGGGGCTTCTGGGTGTCCTATAATGTCCTCCAGGACAATGGAGGGAACAAAGACTGTGGCAGATGATCAACTATGCCAGTGAAAAACAGAATGTGACCATCTGGATTTGAGGAGAGGGAGGGAGGCAACTCTTGTTACTAGGGGAAAACCCAGGGTGCAGCAGCCCAACAACCCAGATGAAAACCGTGGCCAAAAATGTGTGCGACACAACTATTAGGTCCCATCTGGAGCTACCCAATAAATACCTTCGTAGTTCGACCAGCCCGCCAGTACCAAACCAGTTGCTCCCCTTTAATGTAATCAAATGACTACACGGGTCCAGTGATATTCATCATATATTCCTGGTACAGTTGGGTTGGTTCTGTTTAGAGTGGTGTTTTGCACCCAGCATAGGGGTACAAGAGTTCTCAGATGTCTGTAACCCATGGTAAGCCACATGAACCACTCCCTAATCTGAGGACAGCCACTGCTCATGACTCTGGTGGTGGTACTTTTAGGATCCTTCCAGTCAACAGTTTGATGGGCTGCCTGTGTAATTTGGTTGACAGAAAAAACAGATTTTGAGATCAATCGTGGCAATATCAGGTAAATCAAGAGACTAGTCCTAACTTGTTCTTCCTTAATGTACTGCTTTAGGGTTTTCCAGTCCCCTTCCTAAAAGTGGTGATACCTACCATAGCAACCCGATGAGCTAGAGATGGGCAGCTGCCCGCATACCCCAAAAGTGGATTGATTCCTTCACCAAGCATACGAGTGGGCCCACTGTAGAAAGGTATTTCATCAGGTTCCCATCCCATGACTGGACACTAAAGGAGCAGCTTAAGTCTAAGGTCGAAAAGACAGATATTAGTAGGAATTTGTATGGAAGATTCTTCATTTTCTATAAGAATTACACTTGTAGCCTGACCCTTAGCTGTTAATGTGGCTGCAGCTTTAGGACCTGGTTGTGCATATCATATGTGTTAGCTGGGGAAGGCATCACTATCAGGAGTGAGAAGATGGTCTGGGGTGGAATATGCTAGACCGAGACCGCCACATTTTCCCCCTCTTCCAATAGTGTATGTTCCATTCCAGGTATAATGCATTTCAATAGGTCCAGTCTGCAGCAGGACAGTGAGATCCCAGGGGAAACTGAGTAGCTCCCCGTCACCCAGGGTGTGAAGTAACTCACGAATCCAGGTGGGAGGTCCAATTGTAAATGCCATTAGATAAAGCCTCTCCCAGTTGTGATGGAGCTTAGCACATTGACCCACAGTGAGAGTAGGGGCAGGGGCTATCTTTACAGGGTTGAGTGTCCCGGCATGGTTCCCCATTCTGGCATATGGGGCGACAGACCCTACCGGTTGATCATTCGAATGTGTTAAAACCTGAAATAATACTTTGGTCCACCCAGTCAAGGTGGTTTTACTTGTTCGTAATTTAATCCGCTGCTTTAATATTCCATTTTTCCTTTCCACCAGCCCCGCTACCTACAGTTTATAGGAGAGACGTAATCACCATTTGACGTTGTTCTTTGGTCCAGGCTTGCCCATCGTGACATTTAAAATGTGACCCAAAATAACTGTCTATTTGGCAAGGGTATTCATATGTGACACTGAGTTTCTATAATTCCTTATTGGTAGAAGCTTGGTTTGTGTGGTGACAGGGAAAGCTTGTGTTAGGCCAGATGTGGTGCCCACACAAACCAGGGCATATTTAGAACCTTTATTCAAAAAGAGGGGGACAATATAATCAATTTGCCAACCCTTCGCTGTTTGGGAACTCTGGTGGATAGCCCCAGCCTCCTTTGGGAGTTGCTTTTGGGCACTGTTTAGAACATACAGGACATGCTGTTATTGTACTAACCAAGTCACTATTTCTCAAGGGCAATCTTTTGGAATGCACCATTCCACCCAGGCACTATGGTGGCTGCTCTGCCTAAGCATTCAACCGACTATATCTACTGAAGGTTCAGTAGCTCGAGTTCGTACCCAGGCTAGGGGACCAGCTTCCTAATCACCAGGGGATGTCGGTGCTTTATGAGCCAGGATGTGGAAAACAATGAGGACTGCCTCAGGCTCTTGCAGGTGAACCCAAATGTCCTTCCACATATCCTGACTCCACAAGGGCTTATTCACAAACATCTATCCCTTGGTTCCCCATTGTTCAAGCTATAAAGTTAATAATTCCTTTAAAATAGCCCAACTATCAGTGCAAAGGGTTAACTGCCAGGGCTCATGAGTGACCATCAGCCAAACCACTCTGAGTTCATTCAGCCCATTGAGTGCTGTGGTTTGTTTCTGTTTCCATCCAGGAGGTGCAAGCGTGGGGCTGAACAGCCCATGTGGATTGGTTGCCTGAACTCTACCCACCTGTAGACTGGCACTAGAGGGAATTTTCACCATTCCCACTCTGCAGGCTGCAGGGGCCAACACAGGAATAAGGGCTGGGGCATTCAGAAGATCTACATACTTTACAGGGCCTAGAAGCACCTGCATTTCTAGAGACAGTGGACTAGTGGAGAGGGTGCACCGGCAAACAGGCATGCCGCTTAGTCAAAGTGGGAGTCTGAGCCATG